GGCTAAGAATGAAAGCTTAATTACAAACAGAAATCTTGTTTGTAAATGAGCTTTCATTCTTTGCCAGGTGTTTTTGAAAACTATGTCCAAGCATGCCATATGCAACACTTTCAAAATATTATTGAACTTATTCATGTTCAGGAGTGATTTGCTTTATTTCTTCATACCTTTGGGAGTGGTACTGGTTACCTCATTGGTTCTGGAAGTAATAGTAATATTATGGTCAAGAAGGTTGGCACATCTTGAGCGAGAGGCGGAAGAAGCATGCAAGAGAAGAGAAGAAGCAGTTCGAAAAGAGGAAAGCCTTTCCTCAACATCAGAAAAAAGCGCAAGAGATGTGGATCCATCCGATCCATTTTTCAACTGAGTTTGTTATTGAAAATGCAATCTGTTATGCACATTGTAATAAACATGCAAACTTAAAAAACCAGATAATTTATTTGTTTTCTGACTTTTACATCTTTGCAGACAAAGCAATAGAAGATCGACGACTGTTCCCTACAAAGCAATATCAGACCTAATCCTTCTAATTTGTTTGAGAAATCTCTATCTTCTTCTCCCACGAAGGAAGCGATATCCAACGTAGATTCCTAGGGAGATGACTGCCAAACCAATCGACACGTATAACGCTTCCGTGATTATAGATGGGCTGCAATGAGAAAAATATGATTTGGAAAACTAAAAATCGACTTGAGATTTCCAGCGAATTTTTCTTAAAAGTACAAATAGTCTAGAATAAGACTTGCGACTAAGGCTTAATGACGGTTTCTTAAAAAGGCTTTAATTATTTTTTTAGTAGTTCAGGACATATTTGATTTGAAATAGCTTCTGATGTTCGTGAATATATGTTGTGCTACTGCATATCAAACACCCATCTGAAAACAAAAGATCGTATTGGCCTTAGATAGCTCGTCAGCTCTCGCGACGCAATTTAACCAAATAGGCAATGCATGCATGCGACAACCCACACCCCTTAGAGTTGACCTACCCGAAGCATATGAGAACATGCAAGGCGGTGGCGGATGTCTTTGCCGCGATTATTTACATACTAACCTGCGTATTGGAACACAACAAACACAGCGCTACCTCACACAAAAACCATGATTAGAAATGTTTGGATTCCTTTCAAAAGGAAGAAAAGGGAGAAGTAGGAGAAGATTACTAACAATCATAACAAAATACATCTTGGATAAAAGGAATGTATGCCGGGTTCCAGTACTCACTTTCTAGGATCAAAATAACTCATTGGTCTTTTTGGTGTACGTGGGACGTCATCCAGATAGGAGTGAGTAGATGGCGTACAACTTGAGATTGATTCATCATCCTCCTCATGACCCCTTGTTTCATCTCTAGTAAGCGATGTTGATGATGGTCGCATTTGTTCTACCTTTTCTAGAATTTTGAGATATGGTTCACAACTTCATTATGAAACAAGAGGAAAGATTAACCGTAGCGAATGAGAGGAGTCATTGAGCCAGGGTTTGACAGGTTATCTTCATAAAGTGGTGATCTTCCTGCACATATGTGAGTATTTGCAGGAAACTCCTGAAATTTTGCAGATGGATATTTCTTGAAAATGAAAAACATTTTATACTCACGTTTAAAATTCTGTTTTCTGCTGCGATCTCAACAAGTAATTGAGCAGTCGTTCCCGCTTGTGATCGAAACACTGCTACTGCTTCGTCATGGGTCTTATTTACCAAATCAATTCCATTGATCTATAATGCAACACTCAAGAAGTCGATTCCAAAAATTAAAGTATCTATTGATATAATGTTAAAAAAATGTTTAACGTCTAATATATAGCGGACAGCAGTGGCGATGAAGATCCACAGTCAAATGCATTCCAAGTGTTGTGACACAATGTGGAAAGGGCAGTGACACATACAGTCGTACGTTGAAATGTTTTGAAAGGCTCGTTCTTTTCTCTCCATCCACTAACCCTCCTTCTTTAATACTCATAATACTCCTTCGACACTAGGATAATAATAGCCATACTGGATCGTTGTATCACAGATCACGCTTGACCCTGATGGTAACTTTTACACGTACGAGTAGTTGAATGATAGATGTGCCCACATTTGTGAAGGTTACCTTGTTTTAGGAATCAT